AGACAAGTTGCTGTCCTTTTGTTCTTCAGTCTAGTTGTGGAGAACGTCGCTTCACTGGCCCATGTTGGTATTATCATTGCGCTCTTCCCGGGTGAGGCAGATTGGTGGACGGCCGCTCATGGCGGCTCTTGGCAGCTCATACCGGCTGCCAGCCACTCACGGTAGTTTACAGCAGCCCACTGCAGCAGGGGCTGTAGTCTACACCGTCACCAGCGACTCACGGCAGCCCAGCTCCAGGTCAAGCTGTTGTTCACCTTCTTAGCTGTAGAGAGCAGTATCACTGGCCCTCATGTGGGATCTGAATCAGGGCCCTGCTGCTCAGAGCGCACGCTCCCAAGCAAACTCTTTAACGTGCCACTCTGCTGGCCCTTGAGGTTCATTTTTTTATATCTAGAGATGTACAGTTTTCCCAGCACCATTTGTTGAAAAGATTATTCTTTCTCCACTGAACTGTCTCTGTGTCTTTGTAAAAAGAAATCAGGACACTTTGTGTGGGTCTATTTCTAGGCTCTCTTTTCTGTCCCGTTGATCTTTGTATCTAATCTTTTAGTAGTATTACACTTTCTCCATTGTGTAGGAAATCTTACAGTGTGCTAGTAGGAGTGCCCACCTTTCTTCTTCAGATTTGTTTTGGCTATTCCAGTTTCTTTGCCTTTCCATATCTGTTATAGAAAAGCGTGCAGATAGCTACAAAAAGCTTGCTATAGTTTTAATTGGAATTGCAAGTGAATCAGAATCAAATTGGGGAGAATTTATTGAATTTATAATACTGAGTTTCACAATTCATGAATAAAGTGTACCTTTCCATTTTTTACATCTTCGATTTTTTTTTTCAACTTTATTGGGGAACAGTGTATTTTTCCCAAAATCCATCAGCTCCAAGTCAAGTTGTCCTTCAATCTTAGTTGTGGAGGGTGCAGCTCAGCTCTAAATCCAGTTGCCATTTTCAATCTAGTTGCAGGGGGCTATGGAGAGGGGATGGGGGGCACAGCCTATGTGGGAGTTGAGCTGGCAACCTTGTTAAGAGCAGACGCTCTAACCAACTGAGCCATCCATCTGCCCCCCTTTGATTTTTTTTAAACCATTGTTTGTAGTTTTGAGCATACAGATTCTGCACATTATCGTCTTAACCATCTGTTCCCAATTTATTTTATTTGTATTTATTTTTCAATTTTTTTAATTTATTGGGGTGATGTTGGTTACCTAGTTTTCAATTGTACATTCTCATAATACATCATCTATATATTGCATTGTGTGTTCACCACCCAGAGTCAGTTCTCTTTCCATCACCATATATTTGAATCTTAACCATTTTTAAGTGAACAATTCAGTAGTATTAAATAAATTCATAATGTTGAACAACCGTCACCAACGCCCATCTGCACAACTCCTTATCTAGCACAAATGAAACTATACCCATTAAACACTCACTCCCATCTCCCTTCCCCCACCCCTGGCACTACCATCTACTTTCTGTCTCTGTGAGGTTAACTACTCTAGGGACCTCACATAAGTGGAATCATATAGTAGTTATCTTTTTGTAACTGACTTATTTCACTTGATATAATGTCCACAAGGTTTATCCAAATGTAGAAATTACAGAATTTCCTTCTTTTTCAAGGCCGAATGATAGATACTCCGTTGTACATATATACCACCACATGTTGCTTATCCCATGGGTGGACTCTGACTGCTTCCACATTTTAGCTGTTGTGAATAATGCTGTAATGAACATGGGTATGAATATCTCTTTAAGGACCTGCTTTCAATTTTGGGGGGTTTGAGATTTAGTTGGTTTAAGTTTTGTTTCCTTTCTGTGCGCTTGTTCTATCCATTTTTGAATGTGGTATATTTAAATTTCCAACTAGCATTACAAAACTCTATTTCTCCCTTCGATTCTGTCAGATTTTGCTTCATATATTTTGATGATCTGTTATTAGGTATATAACTATAGTTATTATGTCTACTTGCTGTATTGAATCTTTAATAATACATAATGCCCTTTCTTTCTAATGACCTGTTTTGATTTGAAGTCTATTGTGGCCAGTGTTGGTACAGCCACTCCTGCTGTCTTTTGGTTACTATTTGCATGGGATATCTTTATCTGTTCTTTCATTTTCAGTCTGTTTGTGTGTTAGGATCTAAACTGAGTCTATCTTGTAGACAGCTTACAGTTGTCATGTTTTCTTAATTCACTCTGCCAATTTTTTTTCTTTAAAATATTTTTATTGGGGAATTGAGGGATGGGAACAGCGCTGGGGAATTGGAAGGGGCACAGACAAGTTGCTGTCCTTTTGTTCTTCAGTCTAGTTGTGGAGGACGTTGCTTCACTGGCTCAAGTTGGCACCATCTTTGCGCTCATCCCGGCTGAGGCAGATCAGTCGCCGGCTTCTGGATGGCTGGCTCAGGGTGGCTGCTGGCCGCTCACGCTGACTGCTGGCTACACACTGTAGCCCATGGCAACCCACTGCCACAGGGGCTGCAGCCTACACCATCACCGGCAACTCACAGCAGCCCAGCTCCAGGTTGAGCTGTCATTCAGCATCTTAGCTGTAGAGGGCAGTGTCACTGGCCCTCATATGTGGGATCCGAACTGGGGCCCTCTGGCATCCCAGGCCAGCTCTTAACCAACACACCACTCCTCAGGCCCTCTGCCAATCTCTTTTGATTGAAGAGTTTAATCCGTTTACACTTAAAGTGATTACTGATAAGGAGGGACTTATTTCTGTCATTTTGTTATTTGTTTTCTGTATACTTCATAGCTTTTTGTCCCTCACTTCCTGCATTACTGTATTCTGTTGTGTTTACTTGATTTTTTTGTAGCAAAATTCCTTTCTCATTTCCCTTTGTGTAAATTTTTCGTGGTTACCATGGGGATTATATTTAACTTGCTAAAGTTTTAGCACTCTAACTTGAAATTAGCAATTTAACTTCAGTAACATACATACTCTACCCCAGCTCTGTCCCCACCCGTTTGGTTGTTGGTGTCACAATTACATCTTGGTTTTTTTTAAAGATTTTATTGGGGAATTGGGGGAGGGGAACAGTGTTGGGGAATTGGGGAAGGGGGCCAGCCTAGTTGTTGTTCTTCAATCTTTGTTTGGAGGGCCATCTGGCTGCCCGTCGGCAGTTCATGGCCTCTAAGCTCAAGGTGCTGTGTTCAATCTTAGTTGCAGGTGGGCGTAGCCACCATCCCATGCAGGAGTAAAACCAGCAGCCTTGTTGTTAAGAGCACTTGGTCTATCCACTGAGCCATCTGGCGGCAACTCAGCTCATGGTGCTGAGTTCAGTCTTAGTTGCGAGAGGGCATAGCCCACCATCGAACAGGCAGTCTTGTTACACCAGCTGAGCCATCCTGCCACCTGTTGGCAGCTCAGCAACAGCTCAGTTCGGGCGCAGCTTCACAGGCCCATGTGGAAATTGAACTGACAGCCCTGTTGCTCAGAGCTTGTGCTATTAGGCCAACTCTTAACCAACTGAGCCACTCAGCCAGCCCACAATTACATCTTTATATATTGTGTGCCAAAAAATACAAACTTTTCTAAATATAATTATTTTAAATGCATGAGTCTCTTATAACTACGTAGAAAACAAAACGTGGGAGTACTGTCTGTATTCCATCATATATTTCACGTCGTTGTCTAGTTCTCATGTCACCTGCAGGACACATTTGAGCACCTGTTGCATGGCAGGTCTACTGAGTGGTGACTCCCTTTTATTCTTCTGGGAATGTCTTAATTTCTCCCTCACATTTGAAGAAGTTTTGCAGCTAGAGAATTCTTGGTTGACCTTTTTTTTTTTTTTAACCTCTTTGAATATTTGTGTCCTTAGCCCTCTGGCCTCCAAAGGTCCTGATGAGACACCTGCGCATGATCTTATGTGGACATATTCCTAGTATGTCACAGGTCATTTCTCTCTTGATGCTTTCAAGATTCTCTCTGTCTTCATCTCTAGAAAATTTTATTATAATATGTCTCAGTTTTTAGAGACTTCTGAGCTTCTTGGATATTTATATTCATGTATTTTATCAAATTTAGTGTTGTTAGGTTTTTTCTTATTTTAGCCATTCTAATAGGTGTTTAATGGCATCTTATTGTTTTAATTTGTAATTCTGTAATAATGAATGATGTTGAGTATCTTTTCATATTATTTACCATTTGTGTATCTTCATGTTCAGATCTTTCCCCCACAAACTGGCCACTGCTTACAGCTATTGCCCTTTTTATTCCACCAAGTTGTGACTTATTTTCTCTCACAGCGCTCACTTGGGAAGCACCCTTCCCCAGACTCAGGCTGACATTTTCTAGCAGCTGTGTTCCCCTCCTGCTCTGTGCCCGTGTTGGACTCTGTATGTCTTTCATCGTACCTTCCCCATTTCATTTGCATGTACTTAATTAACTCTCTTTCCTCCGCAACGCTGAACGCTTCTTGTCAGCAGGCCTGTTTCATCCTTTTTTTTTTTTTAGCTGAGCTATCCTGCTACCTGTTGGCAGCTCAGCGGCTGCTCAGCTTGGGCTGGACTCGAACCACTGTTGCTCAGAGCTGAAACTCTTGAGCGAGCTCTTAACCAACTGAGCCACTCGGCCGGCCCTCATCCATTTTTATGTCACATGCATCTGGCTGAATACCGCATACCTAGTGTTCTCATGTTGAGTGAAAGGCTGACTAATTCAGTGCATATTGATGGGATGTTTTCCAGTAAGTAAATCATGAAATTCTGCTTTTATCTCAAAGTAGAATGTAAGTAATGGAACCCCTAGGTGTACAGTATGTGTTTCCCTCAAACTCAGTAGGAAAATTTGAGATTGAATGGGAACGTGCCGTTTCAGGGACCGTTGTCATTCACGGATGTTTGTGTGCACTTTACCTGGGAAGAGTGGCAACTGCTGGACCCAGCGCAGAGGCACCTGTACAGGAGTGTGACGCTGGAAAACTATGGCCACTTGGTTTCCCTGGGTAGGTGCTGCTGCCCTGAATGGAGTGCGCGCGACCCCCAGGCTGCTTCTTGGTTGTCTAAAGCTGCAGTGGGCAGGGGGAGCGCGGGGGGAGGACGCCTGTGTTAAATCCTTAGCAAGTTAAGACATATCTATAGGTCTGGTTTTCTTAGTCTCCCTTTGACATCAGAATATGCTAGTTCAGTGGTCTTTATTTTGCCATTACAAAAGGGCAGCTTCATTGTGCTGCCTCTTAACCAAATCTTTCCCATTCTTCAGAGTCCCTGAGTCCTAGGTAGTTTTGAGTCAGGTTGTCTGTGATTTTCCACCCATAGGATATCAACACACTAAACCTGATATCATCCTCAAGTTGGAACAAGAGGGAGAGCTGTGGATGACGCAGGGCCATCCAGGTACGTGACTGTGACTTTGAGACTTTTTCCTTCTTATATAGAATTAGTGTGAATTCCGAAGTGACGTGTACCTCATGTTTTGTACTTCTGTCTCACTGTGACCATTCTCTAAGTTAATCTCCCTTCTGACATTTTGTTTGCTTCTTGCTTTCCCACGGCAATAGGCTCATTTCATTATGCATAGAAGCAAGCTTTCCCTGTTGACACCTCTCAATGTGACTTTCATATCCCTCTATTTCTTTTCTATTTTTAAAATTACATCTTTAAATCCCTTACACTTACATGAGGTCGGACAATTAAGTTCACGAACTCATCCTAGAAAAAGTGCTCCATACCTCATTGCTGAATATCACTATAGTCACCTTCAAAATTCTCCCCTTGGGAAGCTATGCACCAACGCCAGTGCCTAGTCCACCCTTCAAAGCAATTTTGGAACTCTTTCTGGAATGGCCATCAGAGCTGTCATCGTATTCCCCTTGATGTTCTGAATGTTATCAAAATGTCTTCCTTTCAATATTTCCTTGAAGAAGTCATTGGGGGTCAGATAGAGTGAGTAGGGAGGGTGTTCCAATGCATTATTTGTTTGCTTGCTAAAAACTCCCTCACAGACAGGGCTGTGTGAGCTGATGCATTGTCGTGATGTAAGAGCCATGAATTGCTGGCAAAAGTTCAGGTCATCTAACTTTTTCACACAGCCCTTTCAGCACTTCCAAATAGTAAACTTGGTTAACTGCTTGTCTAGTTCATACAAATACGTAATGAACAATCCCACATACCACCAGCCGGATAACACTGAGTGTGGAGAGAAGTACAGAGAGGGGCTAGAAGAAGCCCACTGGGAGAGCTGCAGCCGTGAGCACCCCACATAGAGGCTGCTGGTATCCATGCACTGACATGGTGAGGCCACTACCGGGACTTCTGTGGCAGGGCCGAGTCAGCTCCTGGCTCTTTAGCTAAACTTGATATGTTCGCTGGGGAGAAAGCCTCCCTGGAGCTCCAGACTCTTAAGTTCTGTTGCTGCAAGTTGAATCCCCAGGGATTGCCTTCGTCCAGAACCCAGTAATCATGTTTAATATAGTGTAATCATATTTAAATCATCTCCACGTTTACAAATTCCTGTCTCCTGGTCTGTGGATTTGAGATTCTTTCCCGATTTCTTGAATTCTTTTACCTTTCCCTTGTGATACCATTTATAATCTTCTTTTCTGCCATTGTTGCAAAGAGAATGCTCAACAGAAAATGCATTAGATTTCCGGGGAAATCACACGAAGGAAGTCAGAGATGTGGGAATAAAGGGAAAATAAGAGTGGGTGTGGCACCAACTGCAAGGGTAAGTGAAGGAACTGATGGCAGCACATGCTCACTGTCCTGAGCTCCGGAGCCTGTAAGCACACCACTGACAGCCACACCTGAGCAATCCGGCTTGAGGAAAGAGATTAATTACTCACTGGCACATTTTCTTCTTGATGGAAACTCTGATTTCAGCACATTTTAACAGCCAGTTTCCCTCCCTCACAAGCTGTTGTGATAGAGGTCCCCAAATTTATCTCTCAGTGCACCTGGGAGGCAGGTACAACCCATACTAGGAACTGATATTTGGGAAAATATAACTTGGAAGTTGTGTACAAAGTGAAGAAAAGGGATCAGATTTAGGCGGGAGGAAAACTGCAATGACATAATACGGTGGTCAGCTCTCTGCACATCAACGCGCTGCTGTGTCCTCATCACACCCTTTTCTGGTCAGCACCTTGGCCAGCTCCTTGCTCTAGGACGTCCCGGTTGTGCCTGAGGAGGACTTAGTCTGTATCTTGTTTCCAATCTACTTTGTGTCTTTGGCTTTGGTGGTTTTTTTTTTTACCTTTAAACATTATCCAGACCCATCTTTATTTGCTGCCACCCCACCCCCCAAGAAAACCACGTTTATCTGTTAGCTATTTTTCTCTGGGTATTTGCCCCCATGTATGCAAATAACCAACTTATTCTATTGCACCTTGATTTTTACCCCCAATGATGATAGAAGAGTGAAGATTTAATTCTTTTTCACACCCTCCTTGTCTCTGCCCACAACCCCAACATCCTAATAAAGTTGCTTCATACTTTTGGTTAGATTTATCTTGATTTTTTCATCTTTACAACTGCAATTTGTATTCACAGATAAATCATCCAAGTTTACAGTGGTTTTGGTTCATAAAAAAATTTTTTTTCTTGAATTGTTTTTTCAGCCCAATTTTCTCTGTTCTTGTAATTAATATAGTTTTCATTAATTTAACCCCAGACTCTTCTTTACGTGTCTTTCCTGTTGGTACATTCAGCGAAATCAGGAATTCTGTCAATTTCATTTTCCTGGTGACACCACTCCAGTGTCTTCTGACTTGGTCCAGCGAAACTCGTTCCACTCAAGATCTGGATGTACAGGTTTTATCTTGGACTGTCCTATCAGATTTTATTTTCTATATCTATTCTGTCATCTGTCTTCTTGGTTTGATGTAATGGAGCACTTCTTCCAGTCGCTTCCTGTGTAAGCATTCATGCAATATAAATTTGAGACCTGTGCCTCTGAAATATTTATCCTTTACTCCTGAATGCACTTGTTTTCTCAAGTGATGCTAATGAGAAGTCAGATGCCATTATAAGTTTTGATCCATTATATACATCTTTGGTTGTTGTTTTGTTTTTTTGTCTGTTTCTCTGGAAGCTTTTACTAGCTTCTTCTTGTCCTCAGTATTCTGGACCATCACAGTGATGTTTCTGGTGAGTTTATTTTCATCTATTTGTCTGGGTAGTCATTAGAACTTTATTCCTAAGTAGACTGTAAACTAATTTGCAATGTTTTCTGCTGCTGCTTCTGAGCTTCGTCATGTTTGGCACATAATAGGTTTTCATCAATTATTTATTAAATGAATGTAATGCTTAGAGATCCCATCCAACCTCTTTATATTTTGCCCATTTTTCCTCTTGCTTATTTTGCCTTCTTTACCCATTATGCAAACTTTTAAAACTCAAAACCATCTGTAATTATCAGTTTCCTATGCCTGTTTTTATTCTTTTTTTTTTTTAAAGATTTTTATTGGGGGGAATTGGGGGATGGGAACAGTGCTGGGGGATTGGGGGAAGGGGAATAGACAAGTTGCTATTGTTTTGGTTTTCAATCTAGTTGTGGAGAACGTTGCTTCACTGGCCCAAGTTGCCACCATCATTGCGCTCTTCCCAGGCGAGGCAGATCAGTCGCCGGCTTCTGGACGGCCGCTCACTGCGGCTGCTGGCCGCTCACGATGGCTGCTGGCTATACACAGTAGCCCATGGCAACCCACCGCCACAGGGGCTGCAGCCTACGCCGTCGCCAGCGACTCATGGCAGCCCAGCTCCAGGCTGAGCTGTTGTTCAGCATCTTAGCTGTGGAGGGCAGTGTCACTGGCCCTCATATGTGGGATCCGAACTAGGGCCCTTTGGCGTCCCAAGCCAGTTCTTAACTATTGCGCCTCTCGGTCGGCCCTGCATGTCTTTATTCTTAGTTTTGCTGTTTTCCCCAGTGTCCAGGAGTTTGGGGACATGTGCAGAGACTTTACTTATATTCTGATCAGATATCTGAAACTAAAACAATAACCTCATGACATGGCATTGTTAAGGGAATTTTGTGCTATACCAAAATCATGTTAGGATTTATAACACATTATTTTAATTTCTAGACAAAGTCTGGGAAATGGAGAATCACATGGAATGGCCTCAGGAAAATCAAGGCAAGCTGGGAAATTCTGCAAAACACTGTGAACGTACTGCATCTGGGAAACTGTGTCTTCTTACTACAGATTCTGTTTCCTCGAGGCAAAAGCTTCATAAATGTGGCACACATGGAAAGAGTTTGAGATATAGTATAGATTTTAGTAGTAATTATGCTGGAAAGAATCCTGATGGGTTTCATGTACAACGGGAATCATTCCTCTATTGTCAACATGAACAAACTGTTATGGGAATAAAATACCATGAAAGTAATGAAACTGGAAAAATTGTCAACAAGAAGTCACAACTCATCTGCCAACAGATGTATATGGGTGGAAACCCCTTCGAATGCAGTTACTGTGGGAAGGTTTTCAGCAGCAAGTCACCCCTTGTAGTCCATGAGCGAACTCATGCAGAAGAGAAAACCTACAAATGTAATGGATGCGAGAAAGACTTCAGCAGCAAGGCCTGCCTTACTGCACACCAGAGAACTCATGCAGGAGAGAATTTGCATGAATGCAGTGAATGTGGGAAATCTTTCCCTTTCAATTCACAACTCGTTATACATCAGAGAATTCACACAGGTGAGAACCCCTATAAATGCTGTGAATGTGGGAAACTATTCAGTAGAATAGACCAGGTCATTTCACACCAGAGATCTCATTCAGGGCAGAAACCCTATGGGTGTAATGAGTGCGGGAAAGCTTTTGGGTTGAAGTCACAGCTCATTATACATCAGAGAATTCATACAGGAGAGAAACCCTTTGAATGCAGTAACTGTCGGAAAGCCTTTAATACAAAGTCAAACCTTCTGGTACATCAGAGAACCCATACAGGGGAGAAACCCTATAGTTGTAGTGAGTGTGGGAAAGCCTTTACATTCAAGTCACAGCTCATTGTACATCAGGGAACACACACT